AAAAAATAAAAAAATAAAAATAAAAATAAAAAAATAAAAATAAAAAAATAAAAATAAAATAAAAATAAAAATAAAAAATAAAAATAAACTAAAATGAAAATAAAAATAAAAATAAAAATAAAAATAAAAAAAAATAAAAATAAAAATAAACTAAAATGAAAATAAAAATAAAAGTGCATAATAATAAAAAAACTTAAAATAAATATATAGTAAAAAAATTTTAAAATTTAAAATAAAAGAAATAAAAAAGATGAAATAAAAAATAAGAAATTTAAAAGTATTGGTTAATTTAAAGAGTTAAAAAATATGTGCAACAAACAGTCCACATGTTCGTAAAGTTTTTTTTAACTATTTTTTTTATCAGTCTTGTGTTTTGTACGCTCATTTTTACTAGGACCCTTTTTTTTTAGAAAAAATACTAAAAACTAATTGTATTTTTTCTTTTTCTTCTTCCACAGGTATTTTGCGCTACAAAGTAGACTTCCAAAGTATGCAGCTCGACGAAATTGACAACGATTACTACGATATAGAAGATTATTAGACAATTATAATTTTTTTTGTTTTTTTTTTTTATACTTAAAAAAATTCTCTTCCATTTGCAAAAATTTTGAAAAATTATATTTAAATTTTTAAAACACAAATTATCAAAAGAAAAACAAAAACAAAAACCACCAACACTTCCAATACATAAAAGGGAAACTCTCTGTTGAGCTGACATCACAAAGTGAACGAACGGGCGGCTAGAAATATTCGTTATATTCACCGAGAATTGTGAAAGTCAAAAATAATTGTTAATTAGCATCGAAGGAAACGTACATATATAGTCTATATATTTATCTAAGAACAAAAAAGAAAATAAAAAATTTCCAAATTCATAACACAAAAAACCAAGCAAAGCAATACCTCAAACCACATGGAAGTAGCATGCATGCAGTGGGGGAAAATCCCAATTCCAGAGACACGGTCCGTAGCACCGCTAAAAAATTTGTGATTAGCAACTAGTATCTACCACAAATCTGTTTTGAATCATAAGGACGCGCCAACATCGTATTTATATTGTTGCGTTTTTATGCTGTGCCGCTCCAATTGATACCTTTTTAGTTGGAAAGGTCAAGTTCTTTCGCTATTACCACATGAAACTACCCTGTTTCGTTCAAACTGTCTGTCTGCTACTGCCTACGACGTAGTCGTCGTTGTTGTCGTCGTCGTCGTGCCTTCGGCTGCAACCAAGCATTTTGGCGTCTAGTAACGTCCTGAATTTTAGCAACATTAATTAACACTAACAACTTAATTTGCAAAGAAAATAATTTTGTTAGTAAAAAAGAAGAAAAAGAGCGTAAAAAATATTGATGATAATTTATATACATACATATATACAAAAAATATATAATAAATATAATAATTCAAAATAATGCAAAAAAAGATATTTGTATAAATAAAAAGAATTGCTACCAACAACAACATCTACGTAGATACATTAACGAGGAAATGAAAATTTAACAGCAAATAAAGTTAGAAAAAAAATGAACGTTATCAAGTTTTTACTAAATTTTTAATAATGTTCTTATTAGGTAAGAAGTTGGCTGGCGGTGGCACGTGATGTAACTGTTGCTAATTTTTTCAGGAATATCGAAGAATCATCGATCTGTTCCTACCGTAGGGAACACACCAATAGGCATAGACAGGAGTCAGTCAACAGCTTCAAAGAATCACTTCCCATGAATGGTGTGCTCGGAGAAAATCCATCACCCATTGCAGACAACGAGCTCGAGTTGCCTGGAGAAACCTGCGTGACCTTGGCACAACTTAGGTCTGGATATCCAGTCCCCGCACGACCCTAACCACCTCTTCAAATGCCACCTTAAACCGACTCATCTAACCCCCCTCTCCCTCTGGTCCAATCTTGTCGAAACAGCAAGCTTCCTGGACCTCCCACTAGATGGCCTCGGCGACTTAGATTGATTAAACCTGTACAACAAATACGTCGGTCGATATCTCTCCTTTCTCCTGGTATCCACCATCTGAGCCCGTGCAACCGGGCGGAACTTCCTTGCAGACAACAGCCGAAAGCTGAGCCGCCTCTAAGTACAGTACAAGTAAAGTTAGTGCTAGACATTACAGACTCTATGTAGCACCAAAGTCACATAGCCGCTGGACGGAGTGGGCTACCGATAACGTCTCAAAGCTGTTCACATTCACATTAACTCTTCTCGTGAATGGCGTAGTCGGGGGGGCCAGCCACCACCCGTAGCAGATGAAAAGTTTGAGCTCTTGACCCTCTTAAAAGGATGCAGGCTTCTTACCTATACAGAGTCCCTCTAATCATCTAAGAACCCTCTGTAGTTCATACTGGTCGAAAATTATATTTGGCCGAACCCCCACACCCCCTCCCCATTATTAGATAAACTTAACGACATACACCAGCTTCTAAGCTAGATTTAAGCAAGTCACTAACAACAACAACAATGGAATCGTGATATCGCCCATGGCTAACTCATCAGAATTTTCCCTCGGGCCGGAACTGGTTTAAATGCTAGTACAGATGAGAGTGATTGTACCAACTCTGATGGAGGTGCTTCCTTCGTGCATATTTTTAAAATTCATTTATAGAGGTAAGGGTCCTAAGTTGCCGAAAAACTTCTACTCTTGGTCTGATAAAAACCGCCGTTTAATTTAAATTCTATTACGTTATTCAATTTAAATAATACTGCGCCCTTTAAACTTTCAATGCAATTCAAAATACAACTCTGTTTAGACATAAAAACAGCTGATTGATAACTTTTGACATTTGTGTTAGTTGTTTACATTTGCAGCAGTTGTATCAAGGAGAATCCTTCTCAGCAATTGTATACGTTTGAAACATTATTTATACTGTAAATTTTTTTATACTCAAAAAAAAATATCAGCTCATCATCATGGGTCGCGCAGAAGTCGGTACACCAAAGTACCTTGCCAACAAAATGAAGGCCAAAGGTCTGCAGAAGCTCCGTTGGTACTGCCAAATGTGTGAGAAACAGTGTCGTGACGAAAATGGTTTCAAGTGCCATACCATGAGTGAATCTCATCAGCGTCAACTCTTGTTGTTCGCCGATTCACCAGGAAAATTCTTACATAGCTTCTCCAAAGAATTTTCAGATGGCTACATGGAGCTGCTGCGACGACGCTTTGGTACTAAACGCGTTAATGCCAATAAAGTTTACCAGGAATATATTTCTGTAAAAGATCACATACACATGAACGCCACACGTTGGCTTACACTTTCAGACTATGTGAAATGGCTTGGGCGAACCGGTCAAGTGATAGCGGATGAAACAGAAAAAGGTTGGTATGTCACCTACATAGATCGCAGTCCAGAAGCATTGGAGAGACAAGCAAAAGCCGAAAAAAAGGAAAAAATGGAGAAAGACGATGAGGAACGTATGCTTGAGTTTATTGAGAAACAAATAGAAAAAACCAAGAGTAAAGATGGCGAGCAGCAGGATGAGAGCGAAAAGTACACTGAACTCAAACGTGATGAAGAACAACCGCTGAAGCTGGATATAAAATTGGAAAAAAAATTCAATCCGGATTCAAAATTAGGACCGTCTGCGCTAGTGTTGAAACGCCCAAAAGTAGAACAACGTACAGATGACAATACAGAAGATGAAGACTATGAACAGGAAGAAAAAGTCTTTAAAAAGCCCAAAACGCCCAAGTTGGAAAAGCGTAAGGATAACTACAAAGAAAGCAATAAATCTGCTTTAGATGAATTAATACAAGAAGAAGAAGCGAAAAAAGAACGTGCAAATCGCAAAGACTATTGGTTACACACTGGCATCGTGGTGAAATTCATTAATAAAGCCATGGGCGATAAATTCTACAAACAAAAGGCTGTGGTGCAGGAAGTCATTGATAAGTATCGTGCAAAAATTAAATTTTTAGACACCGGCGATAAGCTAAAAGTCGATCAGGCACATTTGGAAACCGTCATACCAGCGCTAGATAAACCGATTTTGGTGGTAAATGGCGCCTATCGCGGCTGTGAAGCGTTATTGAAAAAATTAGATGAACGAAACTTTTGTGTTACGATAGAGATTTCACGTGGACCACTCAAGGGACGAATTGTGGAAAAAATACAATATGAAGATATATCGAAGATATATTAATAATATTGAAGATAATGATAATTCCGTACAATTTTTTACAATATAAAAACCTCTTACATTTTGGAAAATGGTTTTTGGAATTGTTTAGATATAAGTGTAATCTAAATAAAAAGCTGTTTTAAATAAAAAAAAAACGAAGTTTTAAGAATTAGCATACTTATCACTGCACCGCTTGTTGCATTTCAAAATTAGGTAAATGTAAACATTTATATAAAATGTAAAATAAATCAAAGACCAAAATTTCACCTTTTCTTCTTTTTCTTATAATTTACTAATATTTTTCTTACAATTAACTACAATTAAAGCATAATAAATATCCAAAAGCCTTACTACCAAATATTTATGTATGTATGTATATATGCAAACCTATTTTTAAAATAATCTCTATCAGGTACTTGCGTTTAGCTTTGCTTAGATAATCTCTTTATTATTTTGTCGTTTTCACCGAGATTTAATATTTTTTTTTTTTGTAATTTCTGAATAATTATCTATATATTTTTTACACCCTTTCTGTCGGTCAAGCTTGTGATTCCGTTGGCGTTATGCCCAAATGTTCCAATGAACGTCGCAAACGTTTCCAAAAATATTTCCGTTCCTCCGGTTTCACCTCACGACCCTTTGCGCCGGGCCATTTTATGTACGTTTTCACTTCCATAAGATATTGCAGTGTCTTCGGGCGTTTACTGCGTGGTATATCTTCGAGGAAAACGATAATAAGATGTTCCTTGCTTACCTCAAAAATGCTGCGAAAGAGTAGAAAAAATAGAATTGGGAGATCAATGGAAACTTTTAAGAAAACTCACCGATGTTGCGCCAAATGCATTTCAAATTGACACCAATGGCTGAGTAGAAAATTTGAGGACACAATCAACATGAGCGCACGTGAACGATCCATACAGGATATGATATTTTCAAGAATAGCGACACCGATCTGGAAGTAGAGGAATGATATATGTAAATGTATGTATATAACAGTTATAATTTGATTGCTTCAGGAGACTAAATGCTGGAAAGGATTCAATTTGTTTAGGTGCTTAGACCTAAATTGTGGTATTATCACCCATGTTGTTAGTTGTTGTTTCTGTAGCAGCCGAGATCATCCTTCAATGTTTTTCAATAACTTCATTAGGTCCTTCATCGTTTCAAGCCGCTTTAGGGCGAAATACGGTCATTTATGGGAAGCTTTTATTTAAGCTTCTATAGCGTTGGATGTTGGTGTGGCTCGAACACATGACTCATAACCTTTTGGCAGATAGAATTGCTATCCACTTAACAACGACGGGGATGGGGATATGTCAGGGTGAGGCTAAGTTAGGTACGAGATTAATATCAATAGGATTCACAGTCCGTGATCGGATGAAAACTCGGCTCATTACGGTATAGAGGCCCGATTGTCGTGTGCTCCATTGAATTTTACTCGCCTCTTACGTTCGTAGACTCCGCCTGCAACTTGCTTTAGATTCTCTTAACCGCGATTACGAGTTGGTACGCTAACTAGATGCCGTAGAGGTAATCCTAAGGGGCCCCAACGAAACGAGGTTCATAAACCGGCTTGGATAAGTGAGTTTTGGCATAGGGTATCTTCCTGATCAGCACTTAACCGTGATGCAACGGTATATTTCTTCTGTGTGTGGCAAAGATGACTCCATTATTTTTTTAATTTCGGCTATATGCACACAGTTCAAAAGTTGGAGCCATCTTAAGATCTGCTCAGGCCATAGAAATCACAGGGAGAGGAGTCATGCGTTACGTGACCCACAACGGAGTATCCGTAGTATGACAATCAACTCTCTCCCATACCCAACTCTACTACCTTCTCAGGCTATCAGAACCACTAGAGTGAGCGAGGCTGTGCTTCCAACGCCTTTACCCACTACGTAGTCATTAACGGAACTCCACGGTTCAACGCAGTACACACAACATGGCTCCCACCTAAGCCACATCCAGCTCCACCTCCCGTGTGGCACTATTCCTATAATCTACTACTTTTGACAGCCTAGAACTACTTGGGTGACCGTTATGTGGCTGTTCTCCCACACCCACACTTAAACTCACCTGAAAATCTCGCTCGTGCAAACATATCGATATATTCCCAGACTCCTCCACATTCGGCAACAATTCCTCCAAAACCCAATCGCGATCACTCTGACAATAACTAATGAATATATCATACACCATACTCGGATCACTCTCGGCCAACTCATTGAACTTTTTCACCTGATCCTTAGCGGCCACGGACAGCAGAGCCGCTGACTTCAGCGAAGAGTAGTAGTAATATATATGCCAACGCTTCAGATAGATAATCACAAGCAACAAAGTAAGGCCCATAATCGAACAGATCGAGGCAACAACGATTTTTGTCAACTCATTTAAGCTCTCGGCAATGTCGACATCAAATGCCTTACCTTGACAGTCCAATTGTACGAGTTGCATACGATTTGTGCCATTGAAGCACCAATAGTGATCGAATTCATAGTCAATCAGTTGGAACTTCGGCGCTGTGCCATTGAGCAGCGCATCGTTGTTGGGCAAGTCGATCACCTCGCACTCGTCGGTTTGTTCAAAAGCAGTGCGGAGCTTTGAGTAACCTATGCTCGCTGCCAAACGCATGCGCGGCAGGTAGCGCGCCTTATTGTAGATGCCCAAATTCTCAAAGCTTCGTTTCAAATTGCGCAAAAGCGTTCTTGCCATAATTGTTGGCATAAAGAATCGTGATAAGTCCTCCAAATTGTCATACACCAATTGTGGCACATCGTCGAGTGTCGAGGTTTTGGAGCACTCGGCCTTTTTGTTGTTGATCGCCGCAACTTCCACCAAATCGCTCAATGAACAGTCACAAATGAAATTATTTTCACCGATACCGAGGTAGTCGAGCTGCTTAAAATCCTCCAACATTTCCGAGTTGAGTATGTTTATGTTGTTGTTGCGCAGATTAAGCGCGCGCAGCAGTGTATTATTCGTGAACACACGACTGTACCAATTGCCAATATTATTCGCACTCAGATCGATGGCTTCCAAGTTTTTGAGCGAGACAAAATATTCGGATGACAACATATTGATATTGTTTCTGGCCAAACCCAATACACGCGCATTAACGAGATGTTTAAGCCAACCCAGTTCCTTGATATTTGAGCCTTCGAAGAATAGATATTGCAAGGTATCCGCAATACTCTCAAAAGCATCGTCGACAAATGACGTATACGGATTGCCTGAGAGATCCAGACCGATTAGTCTCGTTTTCTTGAAGAGCGCATTGCCAATCAACGGAAAGGAGGTGTAACACAAGCTCATATATTCCAAACTCGAACCGAGATGTGCAAAGGCCATGGCGCTGGTGCGTGTTATCTGTGTGTGCGACATATCGAGATATTTGAGTTTCTTTAGCTTCCTGAACGCAGAACTTTGTATTTTCACACCGTAGATTAAATTCACAGCGGCAGCGAGTGTCGGATGCGGCAGTTGATAGTCAAAATCAAGCAAATTGGTGTAAGCAAGATCTAGATACTCCAGCTGGGACAATAGATTGAACGCATCTTGCGGTATGGTGTTCATTTTATTGCGTGACATGAACAGCTTACGTATGCCGGTGATGTTGCGAAAGGCTTCTTGGGCAATATTTTCGATATGGCAGTTACTAATGTCCAACTCCATCAGATATGGCAGCTTCGGAAAGGTGGCCCAAGCAATGCCTTTAGCTGTGCGAGTAGAGGTAGAAGAGAGTTGGGTTAAGTTTAGTATTAAAATTAGTTTAAAAAATTACTAAATTTCGTAATGAGGCTCAGGACTGCGCAAGGTTATTGTAAAATCGATAAAATGATCGGAATTTCACAAGACTCCGTAACTTATTTCAAATTTTTTTCTATAAAAAAATTTATTATCATCAGTGACCTCCGAGCCGAGCTCCTTACCCGATTTGTGGTGTGCGTCGTGATGATTTCCCAACAAATGGTAGGACCTAAAGTTTACACTAAGCCGCCTCCGAACGGCTGATCGATTCTTATGCGGAACTTTTTATTTCATATCAAAAACTTATTCGGAGGGATTTTCATGCCCTGCCGAGGCGCGAGCATAGTTAGGAAAAAAAATTTCAAAATAAATTTAATTCCGCTTAGAGAGGGGGCAATTTCCTATCAACAGATGTTTTTTCTACAATTTTGAGTCATGATTTGGCCAGTGTTCGAGCTGAATGACCTTCCGCGTTAAAAAATGTTCTTAGATGCAGCACGGCAACTGTGGGCTGATAAGGTTGTCGAAAGTGATACCAAAGATACCAAGTACTCTACGCGATGAACATGACTAGAGCACAGGGAGCCTCTCCTGAGTGCGATGGAATAGCTAAACTGCCTGCGAGAATGTCGAAAAATATAGAAAAGAAATATACAGACAATATCTAGGCCGTGAAAGGGGCAGATTTTGATATTACTGATGAGCCTAGAAGCCTGTACCCGCAAATCAAACCAATACGTGAAGTCTGCACAACTGAGCTATCAATATATCTTTTCGCTTGCTATCTCACTCAAGTCTCTAAAGGTTGACGCCTCCACAGACTTTAACTTATTCCTGCAAAGTGCGGTGCATTCTCAAAGGAAGTACCTTAAGGTCTCAGGTTCTTCCTCTTCCCTTAAACTTTTTGCACAAGTACCTACTGTTGTCCCTTCAAGTTCGGCCGTAACTTCGTTACCTGATGTGTTGTTTTGCCTTGAACCCCATACTAGTTACAGAGACGTTGAGTATTCTAGACAACTGAAAGTCTCATTCTTGGTCGCCGAATTCCGCTTAAAACACAAAAGGACTCGCTAGTATCAAGTTCCTTTGTGTAGTTCGACCAATTTGTATAATAAATAATAGAGTCTGGATGTATTGATACTATTCTGTCCAATTGTCTATGTCCAGCCTTACCAAGAACACATCGCAGGTGCCTAAAGGCTACGCAATTCATAGAGTAAGAAGAGTTTTTAAGCCTAGACATCCAGCTAAGCCAAAAACGCCACTTCGTCTGTTGATGGAGAGCCAGGCTGTAACAAGAAGAATAATAAAATACCTGGAAGTAAAGCAATGGATGGGCGGACGCAATTGTCGCGTATTTGGTATTCAAGCCCTCAGAGTGTATTTCTGATGTGAAAAGGTGTCTCATTAGGTCCCTCTATTTGTTGGAAAAAAACCTCTCAAAAATTGAGGGAAGTGCTCGATCAAAGATCGTTTCAGTGGTTACAGGGCTCCAAAAAAAATATGCTCGTATAATCGTGATTCACTTCATCGCTCGATTCTTCAAACTTTTTGAAATTTTTGAGGGGTTTAAGATTGGACGAGGGGCTATGATATGCATAGGAAAATGCATATCCGCTTAAGTTTTAATCTATCAAAGCGCCAAGAACTTTTACATCTCATTTGAAGACTTCTTCGAATTAATTTCAACCCCGCTTTGGCATTACGAAGGACTAACAGACATAAACCGACACCCATAAGTGATCGACACCTTGATAGAAAGCAGAAAAGTGTGTCATGGAGCTTTTTGAAAATACCATTTTGCTGAAATAGTCAGGAAGCGTCATTCTTGGGTTGAAGTTAAATTCTAGCGTGGAATGTTGGAACCGGCGATATGGAGAATGCCGCAATATCTGGGAGAAGAAGTGCAGAGAACTTAAACTGAATTGTTTTAAAATAAATTCTTGTCGAGATAGACTTAAAAAATAATAGTTTTTCAACTTATCTACGTATCAAACATTATAAATTAAAAAAAAAATTCTTATTTTTATTTCTTTGGTTACCACTATCAGGAACATGACTTACTTGAGTTCCATAAATATCTATAAATAAAAGTAATAAATTTCTGTGGAACTGTGGATGGAATATACGCCGATTATTATTGCATCAATCATCTTGGGATTAATGGAAAGTTAAATGTTATCATTTCATTGCAGTTTTTAAAACGATATTAAAAAAAATATTAAAAAAATTAATTTAAAACAGGCAAACAAAATCCGCTAAAAAATATTTATGCAAAAAAGAAAAAATATAATATTTAATATTATAAAAAGATCCTCCAACTCCAAATAGAGTTTCCCAGCTGTTTTTGAAAATTTTATCACATTTTTGCATGAACTTGAAGTTATGTAAATTCGAGAGTGGCGCCAAAATATTTACATATGAATAATTTAAAAGTGGTATATGTAAGTCAACACACATATAATATATACATATATATACAAATGTACATAGAAGATAAATTCATACAGATATAGGGTATATGGTTATGATTTTATAGTTTAGAAATATGTATGTATAACCATATAATCATATCTGGTATCTAGTTTATGATTCTAAACCAAGTACTCTGCCTTCAATGTGCGCTATTATTTACCTAGCCTCAAGGTTTAAGAGCGTTTTTTTCGCTAAATTATATTGCATAAATGAATGTATGAAGTGGTGCGCCAGAAAATTTCAGTCTTTACTTAAAATCGATAGGGAATGGTTGAGTTTTAGTTAATATAAGAAATTATTGAATTTTATAAATTAAGGAATTAAACAATTTTTAATTATATATTGAACTAATAAGATTAGGAAAAAAGCTTAAATTAAAATATCAAATAAAGTGATATAAAATAAAATAATATAAAATGAAAAATAAAATAAATTAAATTAAAATAAAATAAAATTAAATAAAATAAATTAAAAGTAAATAACATAAAATAAACAAAAATCAATTAAATTAAAATAATATAAATCAAAATATAAAACTAAAAGATATCAAATAAAATAATAAAAAATATAAAATAAAATAAAATAAAATAAAATAAAATAAAATAAAATAAAATAAAAAAATAAAATAAAAAGAATGAAATAAAATAACTTAAAATTACATTAAATTAATATAAATCAATATAAAAAATAGTAAAATTAAAAGATATAAAATATAATTATATAAAATAAAAACAACTAAAATAAAATGAATTGTAAAATAATATAAGATAAAAAACAAAAATAAAATAAAATAAAATAAATAAAAGTAAATTAAATTAATATAAATCACAATAAAATATAATAAAATTAAATGATATAAAATAAATTAATTTAAAATAAAACGAAATGAAATATAATACTATAAAATAAAGCAAAATAAAACAAATTTCGATAGCATAAAATAAAAACAACTAAAATAATGCAAATAAGACAATATAAAATAAATTATATGAAACCAAATAAGATAAATTGAAATTGAATAAGATAAATTAAAGAAAAATATAAGATAAAGGGTGTTCTATTTTTGAGACAAGTGATTTTCAAGAAGAAACAAAACGTGGCGAGCTTGAATACATTCCAGCCAAGGGACCTAATTTTCAAACACTTTTCGCAACAATTGGGGCTGTATTTCAGCAATAACGCGGCGAATATTTTCTTTCAAGGCGTCAATCTTCTCGGCTTAACCTGTGTAGGAAAAAAATTGTTCAGTGGTGTTAAATCGCACGATTCTGGTGGCCACACCACGACCATGACGCAAAATAATGCGCTCATCAAAGGTTTTCTTCAATAAATAAATTATAATATTTTCTTGGTTGGACGGCGTGTATCACCGCCTTGTTGGAACCAAAGGACGTCCACAGCAACATTCCCCTATTTAGGTACGGCAAAGTTATTAATCATGGCCCTATAGTGTTGCACATTGCGTACACCAAGCTGTGACTTTTAGAGGATCTAATGGATTCTCAACAATGGCCTGAGGATTATCATCACTTCAAACGCGAAATTTTTATTAACGTATCCTTTAAAAAGTAAGGTTAAGCACTGTATTACATTTTCTTGTGGAAATCAGAATAGATGCCAACTCTCGTTTTGGGTCTATTCTCCGGATTCATTCGGGTCTACTTCGATACTTTGCTCCACGGCATAAATAGCGTCTTCGGTGCGCAGCTCTGAGAATGCGCATAACATCCACAAGAGTAAGCGAGTTGCAAAATCGATCCATTGTTGCTCGAATTACCGACTGCGCATGGCGATTACGTCGACCGAATACTGAATGCGCAAACCGAACCGATACTTTGGGAATATATTTTCTTAAGATTGGCCCCGGAGTAAGTCTATTCTTTATGAAAAGACAAGCCAAACTGTGTATAAATAAATATAAATCAAGAAATAATTGTTAAAAAAGCCAACGCCGAAAAAAATATTGCCTCATGAAAGCCGCATGTCTTAAAAGGACACCCTTTATCATATATACATTTGCAGTTTTGAAATAGTTAAAATATTTGTGCGATTTCCCCGAATGTAAAATTGTAATCATTTCATTTTTAACAGGAAAATGAAGAAATTTTAGAAGAATTATAAAATAAACGTGTACCTGGACATCTGATATTTAAGAAAATTATTAATAAGAATATAAAAAAATATTAAAAAGAAAAAATTAAAAATAAGGTCATTTATTGGCAAAATGAACCTGTTGGTCTTATTTCTTTTCTCCATAATGCTCTCCAACACATATCAAGTGCAAGTAACAGACACTACGGAGACCACAGAAACCATCACTGAACAATCCAAGCCTCTCTCGGATGAAGATGCCGCAGCAAATGTACGCAGTTTCAGTTGGTCGGCATTTTCGAATAAAGTCTCGGATCTGTTAGTGGTGAAAAAGAATGTCATAGCAGCTTATCCGCTACAACTGGCCTCAACCCTCATCGATAAGTTGTGTATGTGAGCGTTCAAAACTACAGCAGTAACCAGAAAATAATATTTTTTGAATCTTCTTCTTCTTATCAAAAAAAAGAAAAAAAATGTTGCCAACTAATACTTCTTCTTACCCCTATAGGTACCAGCACTTTATTTATGCATCATGTGCCACAAAAATTTACGCCTGATATAAAAAAAATGCATTTTCAATATATAACCAGCTGCAAAAACTATAGTGTACCGTTAATGGAGGCGGAAAAACTTTGGAAACACATGAGTTTCAATAAGCTGAGGAAAGTCGTCATTTTAGCGACTGGTTGGACAAACACCGTAAATGATTCGTCGACATTGGCTTTGCTCTCGAAGGCCTTTCTATGTAGAAAGGATGTGAATTTTATTGTGAGTATGACCAGCAGAGCAGAGATCATATATGGGGAGGGGCTATGTGTCCTCCGATTTCGTAGATTTTGAGCGATCGTTATATGTGTGTAGAATACTGAATTTCATACTTTTGTCGGATTTTCTCCCCAAAACCTCACAGCGTATCCGAAAGAATCGGTTGTATGGAAGCTATGTGATGTAGAACTCAAATTTCAATGATTTGTGGTGAGACTATTAACTTGTACGGACGTATGAAGAATATTTAGAAGCTTTGTCTGACTGATTTTTTAACCTAAACTTCGTATCTGAACAAATCGGTTGTATGGACGCCATATGATATAGTCCACCGATTTTGATGATTTTCAGTGTCAATATTCATTTGTAGTTACGAATGTCGAGTACCAGATTTCAAGCTCTTAAATGCTGTCTTGACGTATTTTTGATCCAAAACCTCACATCGGAGCAAATCGGTTGTATGGAAGCTATATGATATAGTCCTCCAATTTCGATGATTTTCGGTGTCAATATTCATTTGTATATATACATAATTTTCTTAGATGCTCTCTTGATGGGGTTTTTGCTCTAAAGTCATATCTGAGAAATCGGACGTATAAATGTTATACCGATTTAATATAACCGGTTCCGATAAATAATCAATTAATATACCAGTGCATTTGTGTACCAAAGTTGGGTGAAATATCTCAAAACCTGAGGGGTTAGTTTTCATATAAGCTGACAGACAAACAGACAGACAGACATGTCAGTCTGACCCAAGCGGAATAAATTTCGATGAGTCTATCTCCTCTGCTTCTGATGATTAACTACTTCGGACCAAAGTTAATTTACCATTTCAAGTACACTAAAGATTAGTGCTAGGAAACATAGTTAAAGTACAGGGCAAGAGTGAGAACAAATGAGTGGAAAATAGAAATTGTCTTAGACGGATTCTTATTTGAATGAAAAACCATCAGTAGATATAGATTTCGAGGCAAGAATCCTGCAAATTTTCCATTAAATTTTCCATTTCAGATCGTTGACGCCGCATTCTATGTGGACACCCTGTATAAATGGGCAGCTTTAAATACAGAAGAAATCGGTGAATATATTGCCAAGGGTCTAACGCACTTAATAAAAGTCGTGCCGCTGAAGAATATACATTTAGTAGGTGAGTCAATAATAATAATTAATAACTAAGAGCTCCTAAGGGTTTATGCAATATTTCTTCGCCCCTTTGGTAAAACTTTAGGACACAGTTTGGGTGCACACATAATGGGCTATGCGGGACGTACTTTCACCAAATTGACCGGCTTAACAATACCCCGCATTACCGGTCTCGATCCGGCCAAACCATGTTTTCGCAAAAACGACACGCTGAGCAGTTTACGTGTCGGCGATGCGAAGTTCGTGGATATTATACATACAAATATTGGAATTCTAGCGAAAAAGCAGCCCATTGGCGATATTGATTTCTATCCTGGTGGCGCCAACTCTCTACCACCTGGCTGTTTGACCGCCTCTTGTGCGCACACCCGTGCAGCGGAATATTTCGCGGAGAGTGTTTATCCGGGCAATGCAAAGAATTTTATTGGTTTGAAATGTGAGAATTGGAAGGCGCTCAGGAAGTTGAATTGCTCACCCGGCATCACGTCACCCATGGGCTATGCGGTGAATCAGGAGCGCAGGGGTATTTACTATGTACAAGTGAATCGGAAATCACCGTTTGGGAAGTTTGTGAAGGCGCATAGTGAACGTTGGGAAAATGCCAAGTGTAATAAGTGCGAAAAGGGGAAGAAAGGATAAAAAGTTGGTTGCTAAGTAGTGAAAAAGTAAATGGACTAGAATTTTCTATCACTAAGTTAAAATTATAATATTATATATAAGTACAATAACAATAATGATGACTGTTAATTAAATATAAATATGTATGTATGTATTTAGTATTTTTAACTTAATATTAAAAAGTAGTTTATTAAAAAAATATATATATAAATATATATATATATAATGTATAAATAAAATACATTTGGCTGACAACTTGAACTCAACCTTGACATAAATATTAAGATTCACACAGCGAATTTCAATGAAAAATTAATGAGCATTTATTATTATTTAAACAACTGTGCGCAGCATATGAAAAATTTAAAATTTATTATAGTACGAAGTGTGTTCAAAAAGTATCGCGAATTATGAATTTTCGCGGGTTACGTGTAATCGAATTTCGATTATACTCATGTCTGGCACTTAAGCCGACAAGCTCGGCCATTTTTAATGTTCACATAATTGTTGACAGCTGCTTTGCTTGCACGTGTTTTGGATGGCCTTCGATTTTTAATTTTTAATGAAAGTTTTGCTGACAGCTTTTTTCGATTGCAGGGGCGTGGTGCATCGTGAGTTCTTGCCACAGGGTAGAACGGCCAATAAGGAATATTACCTGCAAAAAATGTTATGCGCAATTTGCGCGAAGTAATCCGCCGGAGTTGTGGAAGAACAAAAATTGGCTTTTGCACCACGATAACGTCCCTGCTCAAACATCGTTGCATGTGCGCGACTTTTTGGCCAAAAACAACATATGATGCCGCAGGCACCGTATGCGCCAGATCTGGCCCCCTGTGACTTTTTCTTGTTCCCTAAACTGAAGAGGCCCATGAAAGGACGACGCTGAACAAGATAAAAAAAAAAAATGATTTTTTGAAGTGCTTCGAAGATTGGAAAAACCATTGACAAGAGATATTATACTCATGGGGATTAATTTGAAGAAGACAAAATAGATATTCATGAATGAATAAATAATTTTTGAAAAAACACAAAATTCGCGATATTTTTTGAACATACCTCGTATAGTAAATATGGTTTCCCTCAACAAATATCTCAAAATTGACCGGTAATGTAGGAAACCGGAGTGTATAAAAAACAGACAAATCTCCAAAATTCAACTAAGAATTTCTTTTCTTTTATTAACAAATATTTTAAAAGACTTCTATGTTATTTATTTATACATATGCTGTTTTAATCTCATAATTCAAAGACTATGTATAAGTGATTCGGCGATAACGGTAACTGAGTGGTTAGCACTACGTACTGCTATTCAGGAGGCCCACGTTCAAATACCGATACGACCAACATCCAAAAGTTATATAAAATTAATTTATTGTAAATAAAAAAATGAGTTACGGCTACCCCTCGGCAGTGTAACTCTTCTCATAAAAACCATCAGCCGTTCGACGGCGTGGTATAAACTGTAGATCCCTGCAGTGCATGTTGGCAAGGGAGCTCAGCCGTAAATCGCTTCAACATTTACAAAGTGCCAATCATATATTATTATATAAGTACTTCTTACCATCGGGATCGGCTTCCTGCGGTCTTTTTGGTTCCAACAAATGGCGAAAATACCCAGTTCTTTCGTGAGCGGCATTTATATCATTTTCCATATAATTTTCCATATCATTTTCATATATATCATCTTCATTAAAGTGGGTAGGTGGAAAATTTTGTGGTGGTCGTTTGCTTTCTGTAACGAATGCATGTGTGTGTATATGTATGTGTTGCTGTTAGCCAATTTGTGTGTGGTGTGCTTAAAACTATTTAATTTATTAAATCATATAATTCTATTTTTTTCTTATTTCATATCATTTTATTTTATTGTATTTTAATGTACTTTTATTTCTATTTATTTTATTTCCTTTAGGTTAATTTAGTTTACTTTTTGTTAATTTTATTTATTTATTTATTTTTTAATTAATTTTATATTGATTAAATTTTTTTAATTTGATTTTGACTTATTTGCACTTATAACATTTTATAATTTTATATTTTATTATTATTATTCTTATTTGATTTTGCTCTCATTTAATTTTTTTATTTAATTTTTATTTTTTATAGTATTTTCTTTTATTTAATTTTTTTATTCATTTTATGTTATTAAATTAAATTTTATTTTACCATATATATAAAATTTTATTATTTCTTATTTTATTAATATTATTTGATATCGATTTTTTTATTTTCTTTTATTTAATATTTTTCTTCATTTTATGTTATTAAATTAAATTTTATTTTACCATATATATAAAATTTTATAATTTTTAATTTTATTATTAATATTTGATTTCGCTCTCATTTAATTTTTTTTTATTTAATTTTTATTTTTTTTTTGTATTTTCTTTTATTTAATTTTTTTATTCATTTTATTTTATTAAATTAAATTTTATTTTACCATATATATAAAATTTTATAATTTATTTTATTCCTTTTTTTTTGAATTTAGTTTTTATTTTTGATTTAATTTTATTTTTAATTTAATTTTATTTTATATCACTTTTATTTGCTTTGTTTAATTAATTCTTTCTTTTGATTCATTTTATTTTATTTTAATAAAATTATTTTAAATAATAAGTTATAAATATTAATATATTGTAATAAGTTATAATTTACTTTATTTGATTTTTTGACATATTTCTTGATTTTTTTATTGTATTTTATATCATTTTTTCACTTTATTTATAATATTTTATAATTTATTTGATTTGATTTCATTTTTTTTTTTGTTTTTCGTTATTTAGTTTTTAGTTTTAATTTTTTTTCTTGTTTTTTATTGTATTTCATTTGACTTAACATTATTGTAATTTTTTGATTAATTTATTTTATTTTCTTGTACTTTAATGTGGTTTTTCACAATTCATTTAATATCATTTAATTTTTTTTTTATTTATTTATTCTATTTGCTTAAGTTTGATTTATTTCTATCACTTTGGCTTATTCCTTTAATGTATTTTACTTCACTGTATTTATAAAATTTTATAGTTTATTTTATTTAATTTTGACTTAATTTTTTTTATTAATTTATTATTTTTCATTTTAATTTTTTTGTACTTTATTTTAAGTTATTTTGTTTATTTTTTTTTTAATTTCAGAGCATTTTATTTTTTTATATTAGTTTATTTTTTTTACTTAATTTAATTTTATACAATTTTCTTATTTTCCTTTTTAATTTGAAAATAAATCATATTTATTAATTTTTTATTATATTTACTTTAATTTTATTTAAATTAAATTTATAAATTAATTTAATTTATTTTTTTTATTTTATACCTTTCATTTGTTTTGATTTTATTTTCCTTTATATAATATAAATAAATATTGCTCCATTATATTTTACTCTATTTGCCTTTACTCTTTTTATTTAAGTTTATATTTTTGACTTAAGTTAATGCAAACTAAATAAAATATTTATTGTTTTATTCCATTCGATGTTATTCTTCAGTTTTATAAATTTTAGATTTAATTTAATTTTAGTATAAACAAAATAGTTTATTTATTATTTTATTATATTTTCTTTTTAATTTTAATATAAATAAATAGTTTTTTATTTTATTCTCTTTTTAGTTTTAATATAATAAATATAGTTTTTTCATTTTCACTTTGTTTATTTTATGCTGTTTTATCTATCTTATTTCATTTCTTTTTTTTTTAAATATTTGGTTGCTTATTTATATTTATTATTTAATTCAATTTAATTTAATATTATTTAAAATGTTTTTAAATTTAGTTTATTTGTTTATACACGTATGTTACTTTATTTTATTTTGTTTCTTCTAATTTATTTATTTTTAAATTTTTTTACTTGACTTAAATTAAATTTTATTTGACTTTACTGACTAAAGTTTAAGTTGAGTATTTAATTTCTTATTTTATTTAATTATATTTTATTTTGTTATATTTAATTTATTTACGTTTTTGTTATTTAATTTCATTTAATTTAACTTTATTATTCCTTTTTTGCTTTGCTTTATTTAATTTTGTTTTACTTTTAATTTTTTTCTTTCCTAATTTATATGTTATTTATTGGACTTATTTCTTTTTTCATTTATTTAATTAATTTTTTATCGCTGAAAAGCTCACTTATATTACTCACCAATATTTTCACAATCCTCCGAGTGAGCTTTGAAGTCATTGCCCTTCAATGTGAGATACTGCAACGTTCCATTTATGGTTGATAAAGTGAGAAACGGTATTTGTGTTAGATTATTATGCGCCGCGGAGAAGACATAAACACTACGTCCAATTCTCAGCTTTTTTTCCAAAGCCAATCTATGCAAATTCTCATCATCAGTTAAATTTTGATACGAAAAATCCATGTAGTAACTGTTGAGGGAATAAGTTTCGGCTTCTGAAATTGGTGAGAAATTCACAATAGTTTTTGTTATTAACGCAATTGTGAACAGCATACTCGTACATATGAACTCTTGTATATGTAAGTATGTGCGGACAATATATGACCATAAACTTGCAAATTAACATTCTTAATTACCGCAATTAAGAATTTATCACAAAGCATAAAATATTACTCATACGCAGCGGTGATCTTATCTTTTGTATATAACCAGCAGCGAAAATTTGGTAGTTGTTAGCTATGTAGAGTGCACCAGCCAGCTAAGCTCTCACCTTTTTATTCTATATTAGCAACTAGTTACTTAGACACTAGTTAAATACCAGTTTATGTTAACGTGTGCTTATGGGTTAACATTTTTTTTTTGGCTTTTTCGTACAATCGAAGGTTTGTTCAATAATAAGTTTGTCCTTTATTAAAAAGAAAATATAGCCCCCTTAACTTTTAGCGTCGCTTAACTAGAATACTTTAATGCTGCTTTATATACAAGTGTACTTACCTATAAATTTTTCCTCTCTTGCTTATTTTATTTATTTAATTATTACTTACTTTGTATATAGAATTTTCAGACTAGAAATTATGGCACAGATTTTGCTATAAAACTTTTTGCCCTTTTGAATAAAATGTCATTATGCATTTCTTGTAGATACCCATATTGTTATTGGCAAAAAAGTTACGAACGATTTTAACAGTCTTCTTTTGAGGCCTTTACCAGCCAAATCATACGCCATAGAGTGTAAATGTTGCTAATCACTTGGTGCGAGGTTCTCACTATAAAGTGTAGGCATAAAAACTACTTAACCAAGCTTTCAGAGTTTCTGGCGAGTCATTATCGATATGTGTGGTCTGGCTGTGCCCTGATAAAACTCAATTGCCCTTCTGTTGGCCAAAGTTGAGCCCTTCTGGGCGATTGCTTCCTTCAGAAGTACAAGTCTCAATTAAGAGTTTGACTGAAGGGAAGCAACTCATGATTTATTGTCAATCCCACCACACAAACAACGAAGTCTTCCTGCCCATCAATATTGCCCTTCGACCGTGAACCCTTGCCGTTTGACGTGGCTATATGAGATCCACTTTTCATCATTAGTTACCATACACTTCAGAAATGGGTGGATTTTGCTAAAATTTTGCTACAATTTTGCTACGATTCGTAGATGGAAATTTTAGCCCGAAATTTTTGCTTGTTAATAGTACACCCAGCCTTATGCAAGAGGTTTCAACTGTTTGTAGGTCTGACGGACTTTTATGAGAAGCTTTGACTTTTATGTCACAAAAACACTCGGTGGGCAAGCGATTCGAATCCTGACCTTCCGAATATTAGTACGAAGTGGTAACTCCACTCCTATTGCTCACGCAAATTATTTACATTTTGTTCATGACGTAAAGAAAATCTTTTTTATCAATCTATAAGGTCTCTTGGTGAAATTTCTCGTACGAGAGATGAATTATTTATCCGAAATTTTTTGCATTTACTGCTGTTATTTTCACGAATTGGTGCTTTTATCACCACTTGAAACTGTTTACTGGTTAGTCACGAATATTTTCGATTTTTGTTAGGTTCCGTATTTTTGTTTCATTTTTTTTTTTTTAATTTCAAGTGCCAAACAAAACAGTAGAACAATTAGAGAGCTATGCAAAAGATACTAGAGCACAAAATGAGTCATCCGTTTGTGGTAATCGATAATGACATTGGTAAATAAATTTGAATTTTTCCATTAAGGAAAAGTTCCGATGGAATGTCTCACCTTGTTCGCCACTCAGAGCACCCAAACTTCGCCGGTATGAAATCCAATTGGGAGTCCAACATATATATTTTTAATGACACTTAAAAACTTCTTTATACGACTTTATAGGCTCATTTATTAATTCCTTATAGTTTTCTGATTTATGGTTTCCAAGAAATTTCACAAAAGATTGTCAGATAAGTGTTTCCTGATCATTCAGTTTTCCTGCGGAGGTCTATACTTCATCAGTTGCTGTATTTGTGGATCTACAAATATTCGTTGAGTTGCCCTACCTCGAGACAAGGTATCGGAATTTCTCATTGATTGGTTTTTCAATGAGGCTACACTGACCTAAACAAAAATTAGCAAAATGTTCGTGTGGCGAAAATGGTGTTGACCAGTGTAATTAATCCCAAGTGCTTGGCTAATATTTGGTAAATTTAAAATTATTTTTTTTTTTGGGTTTTCACTTTTATCTCATTATACTCGTAAGTAGTTTATTTTTTTATACTCGAACGGACTCGCCCTTCTCAAGCGACATAACCATTTCTGGCTCAGTGAGTAAGTAAACAAGCAAAATTTCCACATTTGTTATGAAGAGCAACCGGAAGAGATTCAAGAGCTGTAATTTCATCGAGAAAAAAACAAAGGTTTATTGTGGTTTGTAGGCCGGTAGAATCAATCGTCCATATTTCGTCAATAAGCGACTATTTGATGCTTAAAATTGAAGCTTGTAAACTCGGCGACATTTAGTTTCAGTGGATTTATTTGGGGATCACCTCGGTGAGTAGAAAATTTCAGGTTTCGAGTCGGTCGATTGGCCACCAAAATTGGGTAATATCATACGCCGTTAGACTTTTTCCTGCGGGGATTTTTAAAGTCTTAAATCTATGAACTTCACTTTACTTGACGCACTGAAATTTTGTTTAAAGATCTATTTTCTATTTTGCCTTTGTGCTTTTGACAGTACATATTGTAAACACTATTACCACTTTCTCGGAATATTGACCGCGTTGGAAGCCTTCATTTGTTCAGAGAAACATTCACAGTAAGACAAGTCAAGAGAAGCGAGCACAGTCAGTTCGTATTGGTGCAGTGCATTTAATGTTTACCATTCCGTTTTTGCGACTGACGTTTCACGTAATTTACTTTCGTTCGATCGCCAAAACGTTCACGAATGTTGTGATACGAGTTCATTACTATGAGTTCTGTTTTGGTAGTTTTTTTTAATATGACGAAATATTTACATATCAACTAGATTTATCGACTGAGTGAGAAAACCGGTAAAAACTAGTTATTTTTGATTTATAATTCTTTTGATTTTATATATTTACTTATATAAATGTATATATAATAGTCGTTTCTTTTTGTAATCTTATCGATTGGATTGTTGTTTGTTTCGTGACTTTTTATTGTTGTAATCCAGATAAGTAAACAAAATTATCAACGAATAATTTATGCATTAGAGATCGTGGATCCGGTACGCTTATTGATTAGAAAGATTGTATTTTTATAAAATAATTTCTTCGTTTTGGAAGGTGCGCGTTCAATGACAAGTAGGCTCTCACCGCTTTAAACGGGGTTTTCTCGAAGCTGTCTTTGAAAGTCGATTGTTAAAAGTTCTTGAAAGCTGCTCAAATGATCTTTATGAAATTTTATACAGGTCTTTCAGATACAATTCACGAGATATTGGACGAAGCATTCTATTTTTATCAAAACCCGCGGTAGCCGAGTGGTTAGCATTGCGTACTGACATTCGGAAGGTTCGGGCTCATATCCCATAGCCTGCGACATCCAAAAGTTATGGAAAAGTAATTTAAAATTCTCTAATTGCGGTCGCCCCTCAGCAGGAAAGTCTCATCCGTCTAAGCGTATTTCGGATATGAAATAAAGCTCCTCATAAAGAACCGTCAGCCGTTCGGAGGCGGCTTAGTATAAACTGTAGGTCCCTCCATGTGTTTTAAAAACATCAAGACGCAAATTGGAGGAGGAGCTCGGCCGAAAATCACTTCAGCGGCTAAAAAGCACCAATTATATATATATACAGATATATATACATGCAGGTGTCGATTGTGAAGGCTTATTTTGCTTTCTCCATGATTGTTTTCAGAATTTTCAAACCGTAGGCGAGCAGTTAGACGCTGACACTGGCATTTGGTTAGGCAATCACCAACAAAAACAAATGAATGCGATCACTCCAGCTTTAGCAGTTTTAGCCGCAATACCTGCCGGTGGAAGCAAAGGAAAGATTAAGTAGAGTAGAGGAGATGGGGCAGCATTACAATTCACTAAAAATTTATTTAGCACATAAATCCCCAGCAAGGATAATTACTACGCTCTAAATGACAGCCCGGATGGATAAAAGCTTGAGGGGAGAGTTGATAGTGGTGTATTCTTAAGAAAACCTCATATGGAACTCTCTTTCAGGCTAGCTGAGGATTGTAGTGTCTTTCAGTTGGATATATCTACTCGAAGTCAGCTTTAAAGATTAGGATATCTTCATTTTAAGCAAAAGTACTGGACTCACTTCAACTAAATTCCAAAATTGTGCCGGACTCTTGGCGATCTCAACAGAAGATCTGTAAACACAACAGTCTGTCTCTCACGTAGGTCTCTGGTCATGAGTACATGTAGAGAAACTGTAAGATGGATGAACTTGCTAGGCAAGGTACGATCAAGCAGATTATTTTCGGTAAAGATTACCTTGGCAAGCCTTTTGCCACTTGCACGGCGCTTTTCAAGAAATTTACATATGAACAGTCTACGTTAAGGTAGAACGAAACTTCAACCTGTCGCAAACTCCTGGCTAACCTGGTCAAAATGGACTAAGAAAAGAACACGAGATATGTACTTCTTAAAAAGTGTGGACATGTGCAAAGTAATGAGAGTTCTGATAAGCCACTGACTGATAGAACTGTAAGCAGAGGGGTTCCCTATAGAAGATGATTCAGTAGCTAAACGGATGATGAAGAGGAGCAAATGATCACCCATCTTCAATGCGTTTTCCCTGCTTTGTGCTGTGCAGGGTTTTTCTTTAGACCTACTGCTAGAGTTTCCAAATAGTTAGATAGCGAAGTCCAATGCAGGCCTAAGTGTAATCGATGCTATCGACCGGTAGTCTTTACAACCCAACTTAACCTTAATCAGCTGCTTGCTGTTGGACAAGTAGAAAACTTGCAATAATTCAGATTATAAATTTCCTCAGAAGTATGCAAGGATACTAGCAGCTGGCAATGTTTAGCCGCTTCAAGCTACAATCTCAATTTTCGACAATTTTTTTTCCGTACTCGCGGGAAGGTCCATATCTGGCCGGTGTTCTATGTGGCTGATTGTTTTAAAATATACAAAAGCATGAAATGAAAAAAACTAAAAAATATTGAAGAGCAAGTTTATGGGAAACATTGTCTTATATACTTACTTTTACTTTCATAGCCATTTGTATTCAATGTACCATTACTATAGCTCCACCATTGAAATATATCCTTCATGCCGTCCATTAGGCAATTATTATTTAGTTCGGTTTTATATTGTAGTAGATATTTTTCTAAATCTTGAGCACCTAAAAGACTATCTAAGCCATCCAAGACGTCATGTGGTGTACTCGGTATAATTGGCGTCTCCAATGGGTTTCCGGGATCAATTATCTCATCAGGTATCTCTTCTACGGCATCACCCTCGGTTGGTTGGAATTCCAGTGCAGGTGGTGTGGTAACAATAATCGTTTCATCAAAAATTGTGGTGATATTTGATGCGTCTCTTTCTTGTTTATCATTACCATTTACAGTTAAATTGTATTGGTAGTAGTTTTGTAGTGTTTTTGTCTCATTTTGTGTTGATTCAGCGGACTGAATTATTTTAGTTGTTGATGTTTGAGCAGTTGCTGCTGCTTGTGCTACTGAAATAAAGTCTATTGTAAGATTATCGCCATTGTTGTTGCTGTTGGTGTTTTCATTTTCCACTTTACTTTTCTCTGTACCACCATGTTGACTGTTACTATTTTTAGGCTCGTCACTGTCATACGGTTCTGGTTTATTGTTGTGAATATTGCGCCCACGGTCGCACCTGTTGCTAGCATATTTCCCATCATTATCGCAAAGTAGCTTTGTCTGATCTAACGGTAATTCAGCATTGTTGCTATTGGTGTCGTTGTTATGGTCATTGTTGTCATTGTTGCTACCGTTTATGACTTGCAGTGGCAATTGTATATGCCAATCGTTAATTGTTGTTGTTGTTGTTGTTGCATTTGCTATTGTGACTGGCAAAGCGATATTATCAATTATCTGATTACCGTTGTCGTTATACTCGTACTCGTGCACTTGACTAACGTTACTATCAAATCGTGCATAATTGTTTTTGCTATCGTTGTCGCTGTTGTTGTGGCTGTAGCTTTCCCTGCTGTCAGTGCTGTCGCTATTACTGATAGCCGTTTTATAACGATCGATTAGTGTTGCTGCATTTAGGCCGTGTAATTTGAAATGGATTATCAGTATTACAAGCGCCAATTTCAGTGCGAAACTCATTTTTTCTTCGCTCGCTTAGAAGTTCAATACCCGCTGCCCACACCGTATTAAAGTTGTTGTTTTATTTTTCTTTGTTTCTGTGTATTTTCTTCTGCTATAAGTTGTTGGAATAGTTGGGGCGTACGCACTAAAAATTGATTTATTATTGTTTTTTTTTTTGGTACTTTTTTTGTTTTTTTTTTTTTATGGTGATTATTTTGTGTGTTGTTGTTGTTGCTGTTTGTGGTATTTTATTAGCTTTTTTATTTAATGTGTTGTTGTTGTTATTGTTTTTAAGTATTTTTGTGACATTTATTCAATGTTTTGTTGTTGTTGTTGTTGTTATTGTTGTTGTTGTTGTTGTTGTTGTTATTGTTGTTGTTGCTATTGTTATTGTTATTGTTATTGTTGTTGTTGTTGTTTTTAAGTATTTTTGCGGTATTTATTCAATGTGTTGTTGTTGTTTTTGCTGCTCTTGTAGTTGTTGTTTTTGTTGTTGTTCTTGGTATTTTCGCGGTATTTATTCAATGTATTGTTGTTGTTTTTATTTTTATTTTGAAAAAAAAAAAAAAAACAAATGTTGACCGATAACTGTTTTATTATTGGTTAATTGATTGGTTTTCACTTGTTACACTTGTATACGCATCCATATATGTACATACTTATACATACACGTACATACCAATAATAATGTCATATAATATAAGCAGTTTTGTAATATTTTCTAATTTTAGCTACTCTAATTTGCATTGTTTGTGCTGCGTGTAAATATTAAAAATCATAAATAATATTTAGTTTCATATTTTCATTGAACAGTGTGAGTTCGCAAAAGCTAATAAAGGGTTTTCCAATGAGAGGTGTTCTTTTGAATGGCCGGCCAAATGAAGCCATTGGGACAAGTTAGTGAAGAATGAGGAAACTGTAGCCCTAAGAGTTGAAGAAAACCCAAAATTGTACATTCCTCGCTGTTTGTTGGGATTGGGTATTCCACAAACTGTATTTCACCGTATTTTACATAAAGACTTAGGTCTCAAGGCTTATACAGTTCAGTTAATACAAAACTCAAGCCAGCGGATCATTAATAACGTCGTGTCTTTGCTGATAGGGTCCTTGAAATGAAGGAGAATGAACCCAAACATCATTAAAAAATCAACTTGACTGATGCGGCTTATTTTTTATCTCGATGGGTACATCAATAAGCAAAACTGTCCGCATCTGGCACTCGGAAAACATAAGATTAATTGTTGAAAATCGCGCGGCGGGGTCATTGGATCTTACTTTTTCGAAAATATGGCTGGAGGAAGAATTACGGTTGATGGATTGAGCTAACGAGAGATAATTAATGTTTTATTTTTACCCGGTCGGAATTGGATGGATTGATCTGTACAAAATTTACTTCACACAAGCTACGAAACAATCGACCTATTAAGAGAAAAGTTTCCGGATCGTGTCATATCTTGAATAAGTGATCCCAATGGGCCAACGTGATCTTGCGACGTGAATCATAAGGTCTTTGCCAGCAGGCCAACGTCAAGGCCTCAAAGATGGATGTTGCGATGCTATTGAGGCCATACAGCAGCCACTTTGCGATTTTATGTTAAACAATTTCATAAAAAGTTTATGGTTCTATAAGCGTCGTCGTGACTGTCATCTGGCTGACAATGTTTCCCATTATTAATGTCATGTCTTCCTCCTTCGTACGGCTGACGGTTCTTTATGATGATCTTTTTATTTCATGTCAGAAATATAGATCGAGGGGTTGACATATAAAACTCATAAAAATCCATTGGCCATTCGTAGGAGGCTTCATTTGTTATTCGGATTTCATAGCATACATTGCCAACGGTATTACAGTCTGGAGAATCCTGAACCAGATTGTTGATTGATCTCCGAAATATTTTAGAATATGGCTTTGTTGTAGCTTCTTTGGAAATCATATAAGAAACTCCCTGCATACAATAGTCGTTTATGGCTTATTAATTTGCCAAAACTTCGGAGTGGTAGAGAGCTGCAAGGTTTCATATTTGTAAATAAGTTCAGCATTATTTTGAGATAAGCTATACCTCTGGGCTCCTTTTTATTGTGTTCATAAAAAACGAACTTCGACATGATCGACCACTTCAGATGTTTACGTAACGATTTTAGTACTCATTCGGCCAACATTGAATTCGTCGGCTCACTCTACGTTTCCTCATTTAAACGTTGTTTATTGTGGCTGCTGCGCAATTTTGTTGCTAATCCGTGCAATAGACGAGCGTATTCGTACCCTTCCGCAATCGGTCTCGTGCTCAAGACAGAAGATTGAAAATTTTGTAGTTTTTTCTCACGGTGCTATGGGGAAGACCTAGACCAGCCACCGACGTATTCGAAAAGTATCGAATTTGTGGTACTATTTGTTTGAAATTATTCTCATTCTAGGAAGTAGACGAACATATTTGAATGGACTAGCGATTAGAGACCGAATTCGGTTTGTTCGAAGCTTACTTCTTTGGTAAGTTTTCAGCATTTAGAATATTTTCTTTCCAGAAAGCCATAGCTCGTGTATGCTTGTTGCGCAATATTATCATACCACGTCTGGCTTATCAAAATCGTGTTGAATTTCACTAAAAAGTTTGCAAAATAAAGATAACGAAACCATATTCTACCATTTTTCTTCGATAAAGTCAAAAACGCAAGTCGTGCAGCTGAAAATGTGAATAATGTTTATGACCCGGATACAGTAACAGTTAAATTCGGTTTCACCGACGATTTCATTTCGGATATTTTGATGTAAAAGATGTCAATTGTCGAATATGTTGATCAAATAATGGAAATCGTCGAGTCGGACCATCATGCGAGCACTGTTTCGATTATCCAGGGACTAAACAATGCACAAAAATAGTTTGGATCTCATCGAAAAAGGTTGAATATACAAGAAAACACGTTGTAAGTGGGCCACCTCATAGAAGAGGAAAAATGCTCCTGAATGGTAACAAAATCGACCAATTTCTGAACCGAAAGGTGACTGATGATGAAAAGAGGATCTCTTACAGCAATGTCAAACGAAAAAGGTTACGTTCGAAGGGTAGTTAGTGGGCACAAACGGCCTCCAAGCCAATATTGACGGCCAGAAAGGTTCTGTTGTATGTTTGATGAGGTTGGCAAGGAATCGTCTACTATGAACTACTCCCCTACGGCCAAAATCTTAATTCGAGCCTGTACCGTCAGCAATTGGATCGTTTAAAGGAAGCAATTGGACAGAAGCGCCTAGCTTTGGCCAAAAGGAGCGCAATCGCGTTTTTATTAAAACAAGGCCAGACCACAAACACACATCGTTGGTGACTCGCCAGAAACTTCGGAAGCTTGGTTGCGAGGTTTTTATGCATCCTCAGTATGGTGGGAACCCACCAAGTGATTATCTTCTATTGCTGCCTAATAGTTTAGGCTGGTAAAGGAGCCTGTGAAAGTCGATTTTTTGTCAGTAGGGAAAGGGCTTCTATGAGAGTAGCATAATTACTTTAGCTACAAAAGGCAAAAGGTTATCGAGCAAAACCGTGTATATTTGACATAAATCAATGCTAAATATGATAAATAAAGCCAATTACTCCAACGAAGGGAATCCCTTGAAGACGAGCCTTTACTTTTATGCAAAAATAATGGTTGACTTTTTACTTGACCGGAGGGGCAGGTGTATTCAACTATCTACAGTATTTTTGGAATGTTTTTCTGGCAAAATTATTGATCTCTTATCAGTCTGCTACTGCGTTTGTACCTATTTGTCTGTTAGTATTTCATTTTTATCTGCCTTTGCGGGGCGCACCTGTAAATATAAGCGTATTTTGTTCCAAATAAGCAACTTCCTTGGTGATTTCGTTTGAACACCCTTTAATTTAAGTGACAATAGCGTTTGTTATATTTGGGTCTTGAGAGCCACAGATATTTATTCAACTCCTCTACAATGTTTTTTTGGCTTGCAAAAACTAAAAAGTGCTCTTTTTCTGATCAAAAAACTTTAAATTTCACAAATTTTGCCTTTATTTACAAAAATATATTTATTGCTTGCACAAAATTATTTATTTTTTTTAATTCATAAAATTGAATTGACAATAATTAAATTACTCCATTTGGCTAGCGCTTTTTCGCTCATTCTCCATAAGTTTGCTCTTTCAATTGTTTTTATTATTTTCTAGAAGAAACTATTGCATTATTTCAACCTCTAAAATGCACAGTCATTCGTGTAAGTTATAACGTTTAATTTTCGCCTACAAGCAAAGTCGATATTTTTTTTATCGATAAACGCAAATATTTTTCTTTCAGCAATTTTTTCTTTTTATTTTCATTTTAAATTTAATTAACACTATTTTTTAATTTTATTTTATTGTATTTTTTTTTTCTATTTCAATTATTTTATTTTTTTTTTCCAAAAATTAATTTAATTACACGTGCATACTCGTACATACATACATATACATATATGTATAAATGTTTTCACACAACCGATTTCTTTTACTCGTACGACCGTCTCGAACCACTGTTGCCGAAGAACTAAATCAAATACTTAACTGAAACTTTCTGAAATTACTGCCAATGGTCAATGGGCGAGGTGTCGGGAATGGCTGATTTCTTTGCCGATTAAGTGGCGTATCTATCAGTAGCTGGCAAAGCGCGCGCTTATCAATTTTGGCAATAATTATTATAATTTTTTATTACATTTTTCGATATTTCTTTTGCACTATTTATTTATTTTTTGTTTATATATATATATATATTAATTTTTTTATTTCACTTTTACCATAAAGCTTTTGGTATGCCGCGCGCGCTACGCTATCAACTCAACATACATTTATTATAAATATTTGGCTATCAGTCGGCCGTGCCTTTAGACCATCCAAACGCCCTGCTATACTAGGCAAGATATGTATGAGTACATTTGTATGTATTCACAGGCTCTTGCCGTTTTTTGTTGTACCACCCCTTAACGATTACATTGTCACTACATCATCACCTGATTTGTAAATCTTATTCCTTACGCCGCGCACGCGGTCGTGTCTTGAGCCGTTAATTTCGTGGCAAGCACCTCATTGAATGTAGCTCGCGTGTGTCGGCAATAAAGTTAAACTACACCTTCGCATTATGAATTTCCACATGATTTCTCAATGAAAATTTAAAATGCCTACTTCAGCTTCGATTTGTGTTCGTATGTATATGGGTTTGCTTGTTCTTATTATCGCTCATATCTTGA